TTCTAAACGTGTTGGTGTCTCACCTTTCCAAAGACACACCGATTAGCAGTCGGGTCAACACAGGCTTTCCTGATTTTCCGCGTGGTAAGCCACAAGTGGTTGCAGATGAATACAGACAGGCCTCGGAATAAAGCGCAGGCTATCGATCTGGTCAGAGCGCCACTTGGTGTGGCACTAGTGGTGTGTGGCCGGTGGGTTGATATTGGGTGGCAGCCATAGTGACTGCGACACAATCGAAAGATTAGCGATAGATCCATGATACCGCTGCCTATCTGCCTTACAAGGCTACCGGTAAAAATAGTCGTGCAGTGATTAGAGAGCACTTATGTTGGGTGCGAACACCCAAACCTGGACTGCACACGTGGCACAGAGAAACTTCTGTGTGAAATTCATCCGCTAAGACCAGGTAACGCATCTGCAGGAGTTAATGAAGCGAGACTATATGAGCCGCAAGCTCCTATACAGGCACAGTAATGGCCTTCGTAAGGTGAAGCGGGAAATCCTAGGAATGATAAAGGATGATGGGTGCACGGGGTCAGCAACAAAAGCAGCCGATCTCCTACGGTTTCATTTCTCCCATACGTGCCCTTTTACCTGATTTATGTATCAGATGGACCAAAGGGGGCGGTACAGAAGTGAGCGGCCATATTCTACTATGCTCAAGCGCCGCGTCGATGATCACTGCACCCCGTGTTCTTCCGTGTGACTGTATTCAATGTTTATTTACAGTAACGTTATTTATCGACGGATTTACCTCGGTAGAGGACTCGTATATCTTTGAATTTATAGTATTCGAACCGACCATCCTGCGGGACTTGCCAACCAATTGCCTTGTAACACGTGATAAATCTTTGATCACTGTTCAATTGCCTTGCGTCGTTGCGCCCCATAGAAACCCAGTCATCGTCGATGACGTGTTCGAAGGATTGGTCAAACGACTCATTGAAGCGTTTTAGGACACCGGATGGTTTATATATCGGCTGCGCTACAAACGATGTCTACTTCTAACAGCCAAATTGCAACGAAAACTGCCGAATTCGTGTCGGCTTATACTGCAAAGGCGATGCCCAAATATCACGAAGGACCGAAGAAAGTCCGCTGTAACACCCCGAGTAACCTCACTTTGTGCTCCTGGTCTCCGCTATGGGAACAGTTAGAAATAAATTCGGTCATTCAGTAAAAAGTTTAAATGCGGCTTAATATGTTGTGAGTGCATAAATTCTGATCGCAATTCGATCCTTAAATCTCAATAACACAGTACCGAAGACTACACCAAAATTTCTAAGGTTTTCAACCCTGTAGTTCGCAAGTTATGTTGCACAGCCTAGTCCGGAAAAGCACCAGACGCATTTCGCCCTATTGGGGCTCGTCAGTGGTGCGCATTCCTTCTGTCACCTAATAAGGATAGAACCCACGACCGAGAGAGGCAAATGCCAACTAGCCAGGAGCTTAAGCCACTGGGGGACGTGGCTGGCTATATAATTTACAAGCTAACCGGGATAGAGCACGACCTATCTTCCACTGCTACTGACAGTGGCTAACCGGCGAGGTCATGACGTCCCCTTGCTAGACGCCATGTCCATAGCATTTTGAAACTAAGAGAGGCTATATAAATCATATTACTCGGGAGTAGCCGGATTTTAGTTGTAATGTTTAGGGTTTTCATCCCAGTAGTTCGCAAGCTACGTTGTACAGCCTGGTCCGGAAAAGGACCGGACGCGTTTCGCAGAAATTCGTCCCTAATGTATCAAATGCGAGAGCCAGGGGCACGATAAACGAACACTTAGCAGAAGCATCATACACACCAGCGCTGATTTAAAGTACCATTGTAAAAAAAGCGACGACTTAAAGGAACAAACCGGTGGTGAATCCACAAATGCGTGGTATCACTTGATGTGTACTGCAAATTGATCATTCTACAGAATTTATCAAGCTTTAGCCTTTCATGAACAATGGTTTGTAACGGGTAAAACAAGCAGGTGCTTGACATGTCCCGTGGGGTGTTTAGCGTGACAAAAAAGATAGAGCAAGGGGTAATGGAGTCGCCAGTTTGGGCGATTACAGATGTAACTGCACTGTCGTATAAAGGGGTTTGAAATGAGAATGTACGCACACAAAGCAATAAGGGGAGTGGTTATTGATCACATAATAGGTGAGAAAAAATAAAAGATAGCAAGGACACTTACTCGTGTGCAACTAGCTTGGGTCGACAGGATACAGAAATCCAGTTTCTATAGTAGTAGCGTTTATCAAATTTCGTGCAAGGCGTTTGGAGTGACTCATTCTCGGGTAGGGTTATGGCACTATCCACTGTCTGTTGTGCATTAGTGCCAGCATCTGGTGGTCATGGGCAATAGCACGTAGTGTAAATGTGACAGAGTATCGTCAAGGCGTTTTTTGAAAAGGAATAGAGTGAGTGTACTAATTACATGTTCCGGGAGGGCGTTCCAAGGCTGTGCCACTCGAAGGGAGAAATAGTTTCGCCGACATTCCAGGCGGCTGTACTGCGTGACCTCATAGCGAGGTGTTTTGACTGAGTATTAGAAGGGAATGGCATGGGTGATTAAGGTTTCTCAGGATCTGGTACACCGTTATGAGATCGCCCCTTAGACGCCGATAACGACCACCGTATGTTTTGAGGGTCTTCAGCCTGAGTGGGTAGGGGATGCTAGTCAAACGTCTGACGTTCTTCGTTGCCCTATGTTGTGCCGTATTGAGCGCGGGGAGATGGTGCTTGAGCCAGGGTTGCCACGCTTGAATGGCGTATGCCGCGCGCGGCCTCACCTATGCACTAAGCATTTTTGGAAAGACTGAAGGGTCAAACTTCCCGAAGGCTCTGCGTAGAAGGCCGAGGTACTGGTTTGCTTCTTTAGCTGCCTTTTTAGTCTGCCTCAAGCAACCGAGGTCAGCTTGAACTATCACGCCGAGATCGCACTCGTGAGAAGCTTGCTGTAGAATTTGTGGTCCTAGGCGGTACTTGTGCATACTCTTGTGCTGTATGCTGAGAACTTCGCACTTGGTGACGTTGAAATGCAGCATGTTCTCGATGGGCCATGTGCACGCTTTGGGCAGGTCCTCCTGTAACACACCGTGATACACCACTGCAGCTATAGTGCGCCACACCTTTAGGTCATCAGCAAATAGCAAACAGTTAGAAGATAGCAAGCTCGCGAGATCATTTATGAAAACCAGGAACAGGCGGGGTACAAGTACCGAGCCTTGAGGTACGCCGCACTGAACTTCGATGGATTCCGACAGGTTGCTTCTAATCCTCACATTCAGGTGATGTTGAACGAGAAAGACTCATATCCAGCCCAGAACAGGATCGCCGATGCCATATTTCTGGAGTTGGTGGAGGAGAATGCGATGGTCTATATGGTCGAATGCCTTTGAGAAATCCAAGTAGGCCGCGTCGACTCCTTCACCAGCGTCCACAGATTCCGTCCAGCTTGCACGAGCAATCAAGAGATTAGTGGTATAGGAGCGATTTTGGCGAAATCCATGCTGCTCCGGAACAAGAATTTTGTTGTTCGCTAGGTACCCCATCAAAGCCTCAGCTACAATGGACTCCATAACCTTGGAGATCACAGGAAGAAGTGTTATCGGGCGATAATTTGCCGGTTCAGCAAGATTGCCACTTTTGTAGATTGGCGTGAGGATTCCGTGCTTCCATATCGTGGAGACGTGCATCTCGTTCAGACATTGTTGAAAGAAAATTGCTAGTGGTCCTGACAAACTCATGGCAGCAACTTTCAACGCCTTCGGGTGAATGCCGTCCGCACCCGGGGAGCGGAACTGGCGCAGAGCCGTCAGTCTCTTCAGTACCGCTGCGGAGGTCGACGATATGTGATTAAGCCCTGATGGCGGCGTTATCTGCTTAGGCAGGATGCATGACGATTGCGCGCTATGGAAGGTACGACCAAATTGTTGTCCAAGAACGTCGGCCGCCTCTTGTGCAGTTTGGGCTAACCCGCATGCTGTGCGCAGAGCAGGAATACCGCGCTTAACACGGTGCAAATTGTTTACGCGTCTGGATAGCAGTTTGGGATTGGAACGAAACTTTTCCACCAGACCTCGTTGGTTTTTCAGTTTATCCTCCCGGACGAGTTTGACACAGTGGTTTCTTTGTAGTGTGTAGACATCCCGGGTATGGTGGTTCGGGGAGGCTATGTAGGTGCACCGTTCCAAGTCCCTTAATGCCATGTATTTACGTGTTCTGCTCCTTACGAGAGATTTCATCCTTTTAGGCCGGCAGAGTTTGGTTTCAAATGTTCTTGACACGAGCTTGGTAAATATGTTGACGAACTCTCCGCAGGCTACCTCAGGGGTTAATTCAGCTAAGAAAGACAAGCTGGTTGCATCAATGAGGTCGGACAGGTCCTCATAACTGGTTACGATATGATATTCCTCGGCATGCTCTTTAGGATAATCCGCGTAGCACATGTAATGAAACACTAGTGTCCCATGATCACTGCGGCCTAAAGGAGTAATGGTTACCACTCTCTCGACCATCAGTTTTTCATTAGTGAATATTCGGTCCAACATAGATGGCCTGTCAGTTCCCCTGAACCTGGTGGGCGTAGTGACGTGGCCATAAAGCGGGAAGTCTGAAACCAGATCTTGCAAATCTGCAAATCAGTAACCTAATGTCGAGACCTAGCTGTAACGCCTTCCTCGACCAACATATCGGCACAGACAACTCAAAGGGGTTTACGGATACACAAAAGCTCCAACTAAATACATAAGTACGGATGTATTAGCAGAAATGATAAAAATTTCCGTGCCAGTTAAATGCAAACAGATAACGTTATCCGCAGCGAGCTGCAGGATTATGCATGGAGTAAATTACACTTCGTCTGCCAATGTGTCCGTAAAGTGCCAAATGCACGTAAATGCCGCATTGCTGCCCGTGGCCATTCACATTTGGAGACCATAGGAATAGCGTTCCATTCACGTCGCATGCATTGCAGACCATCGCCATCTTATGAGGAGACTTGTACCTATGCCTCCGGCTTCAATTCCTCTTGTGAAACTGCAGTATGATTCGAAGCTGAGTGCCCATCTTCTAAAAAAGAGTAGCAAGTGGGCTTGAACGTGATAAACTATTGTTACGACATTTCAATAATCATTGTAGCGATAATAATGTGTATCACGTCGTGATGTGAGTTTGCGCTTAGCTTCTAGAGTGAAGGTAGACTTAAAAAAAGGAATTTTTCGGGCTGGGCGCGATGCGGTGATTTCAGAATTAGTTTTACAGGACCATTCCTAAGGTAGCTACCACTCAATATGTGGCTTCCGACTGCATTCGCTCACCATTGCCACTCTGTCGCTGATATCCACCGTCAAAGGCGTTGTGAAGCAGCTTCCCATCAGATGAGTGGTCATTGGCCACATCAGAGCGCAGTTCCAATCAAAGCGGACTGAGCTGAACCACCTCGATACTGGATCATACCATCCGTTTTATTGCTTTCTGATATCAACGAAAGACAAAGCAAGTATTTCCTGAATCTCTTATTTTATCCCAATGAGTATGCTTTGTTCTCAGACCAAGATGAAATAAAACGCTGCATGAACACGATTAAAACGCTAGTCCTGCAAGGTGGTGATTTCTAGGACTTCAAGAACAAGTGACTATGCTTATAAACACCCCAAGTTTGATGTGAACTGTACGCAGGAAATACCCCCCTCCTCGTACAACTTTGAATGCTCATGGATGTACCATTGTGCTCTAGTATTCCATAGTGTCAAAAGGCCCAGCAGAACAGCGGAGAAAGATGTTTGAAAAGCTACAGCATAACAAGGACCGCTGGGTGGCTGGGGTGGAAATCCTAATTTCATGAATACCGTTGCCATAAACGGACGGTGTATCTATGGGATACACATAAACACAAACGTAACCCTGACGATGAGCACATCTTTTCTGTGCATCACGTCACCTCCCGAGGAACAAGACTCATATCGCACAAAGCAAAGGACTAAACGTATAATAATGTGGAATTTCAATTATGATTAACTTCAGGTTAAAAGTGTCCTAAATCGAAAACTCTCTCCACCAAAGGCAAACGCAGGGAGAAAACCAGGCGATATTCAAATCGGCTATATCGCATGACCAACTTCAGCTGGAGCACATCAGACTGATATTGCGATTAAGTTTCAAAAGATAGCGCGCAAATCGTGATGGTGGTTTGTTAACATAAAGCTGGTCAAGGAGACCCATACGTGCCCGACGGCTTCTTCCAATGTTTCAGGTGAACTTAGTGTAGCTGATGGAACAAGTTCATGCTATACGTAAGTACTCATCACAGTGGAATCACGAGCAAGAGATCATGTGGTGGCTGAGTGAGTCCAATTGCGACAAATCGTCTAAAACTGCAATAAGCTCCTATACTACGCACTAACGACGAAATCAAGTTTCCACGTGAACTGCTGGGCATAAATGACATGCATCGCAGGGGACACCAGGAAGAACCATGTCGCTGCTGCATCCCTAATCCGAAGCAAAATTTCTGCCAGGTACCCGACTGACGAACCAAGAGAATGTGGAAATATGGTTCCTCTCGGATCTAACGCAGCGGCATGACTTTTATCTTCAAAGTACAAAGTATCTTTGCGGGACAAGACCGAGATGCTATCGGTTCTGGTAGTCACCGAACAGCTAATGAAAGTCGTGCATCGGCTCACCATCCTAGACACCTGTCACTTCTGCTGGTCGCATCAATGAGCGGATTAATGCGCATTTCAGCGAAGCCCAACGTGGCTTTACAGAGACCCAAGCATCTGCAGAGACGGTGTGATACCGGTAGGTGTTAACTTGTGGATCAGAGACCTGACAACGTCGCATGCAACGATTGGCTGTATTTGACTAACAGAGCTAGCGGAATATTGATGACACCAGCGGGAACGCCGGGTGAGCAATGCTGACATCTGTCAGTTGTTTTCTGTTAAGAAGCCCTCTGGTGCCTCGCTGGAGTCTCTGTAGGAATTGAATTGTTTACGCTGGCTAAAGAATGCCCTTCATACACCCAATGAACACATTCCTCGATGTGCGAAAGGCGATGACGTCACATCCTGTTGGCAGCGAATCTGAGGTTCCCAGTTGATGACATGGCATTGGGGCATGAAGCAACTGACCGAGAAACTTAGACTGCTGCGTGCCGTCCTCGTGGGTGAAGACGCGCATAATCCACATCGGTGGTTTGGGGCTTGAACGGACATTGCGCGGTCGCACAGTTAGTGAGGTCCCTGAATTAGGCCTCTTGCATCTAACTAACAACATTCCGCCCGCTGTAGTTTCGTGCTTTCCTCTTTCTTCTACACCGTGGCATAAAATTTTTATTATATCTCGAAAACACTGCAACGGACGACGCGTTTCGAGATTATTTGAATTCATCAAATGGAAGTAGGACGTCTCGAACCCGGGACCATTAGAAGGTAATTGCGACCTATACCACTTTAGTCACCGAGTTACGCTTGGCAAAATCGGAAACGGATGCCACAAACTATATAATCACGTGCAGAGTCAAATGAATTGGTTCGCTCGACAAATTTTATGGTATTGCGTAGTAGAAACATACAATCTGTACAGCAAAATGTCCCTGAGCGTAAAAAGAAACAAAAGGAAGAGCTATTGCTGTCAGGAGGGTCGATTCTACCAAAAGAACGTGACATCAACGAAGATGGTATAAAGCAAGAGATACAAACCAAACTTAACTCGTACTATCAAACGCACACTCACTCGAATGAAAAGATTTGTGGTGTCTTTGCAGAATGGCCTTCTCAGAAAACGATTTACGACAATGTTCACACGTGTAGGGACGTTGCTCTGCAGCAGGGAAACGAAAAGCATCAGTTATAGGTGAATCGAAGATGGCAAACTGACAAAGAATATCGGGTGATTTAGCAACATGGGTGCACAAAGGTTGCAGTACAACAGATAATTAATGATGGACAGCGAATTCGAGGATTCACTGTATAAAACAACGGCTTACAGAGTTCAAGGTTAGGTAGCAATGAAGACAAAGACAGGATAAAGAGTGTGAAGAAGCCTTCGATGATAGTGACAGCGTAGTAACAATAGGTACCAAACGAGGCACACAATAGTCCTGTTCAGATGTCATTCGATGAGTGCAAAGTAAACATGTCCACTGGAACGACTTCGACACTCCGGAGACAACGCAATCAGCATAGTTGGAATCAGAAGTGAACCAAGCGCTAATAGGCTTTGGAAGCTTACGAGTAGTTTTGTAATGGTAGGTACCACAAATATCCGGGTTATAATCATTCAATAAGCGATCATATTCCACACTACACAGCGGCAGAGAGATAACCTGATGGGTGAGTAAGACAAGTTCTTCCTAAGGAAAGAGTAACTATCGACCGAGAACGGATGTTTACAGAACTCCACCCAAAACGGTTATGACAGTTCCATCAAGATTGATCTGGTATTGGTGTGATGAAAAAGAATAAGCCAATTACCGTTCTTTGGACAAACATCGAGATAGGACTCTGAAAGTTGGTGAAAACATGTCCAAGATACACGCTTGTCAATAATCCAGTCCGGACATGCATACATGCCGATTTGTTTGGTCCAGTGAATAGAGATCAGTTTCATTAAATGGTCTGAGCTGTTCCGTAGTGAGCATACAAGCATTAATTCAACCCTGGAAAGTACTGAGATGTTTTTCATCCAGCATGGTATACCAGAAACTGGTCAAGGAAATGGTTTGAAATTAGTCTCATTCTAGTTTGTGAAATACTGTGCGCAGTTTAGTAGCACACAGTTGCGTTCACCACCAATCCAATATACAAACGTAAGGTTTTGTTAATCCGTTCAAAGGGATGACAATGAAAAAAAATGAAAAGAGGGGACTGTAAGAGAAATGTTGGATATTTTAACGCTAATGTGCAAATAATACCCAACAACCCCTCAGGTGCCAAACGTGTCACCTGCAGGAAAATTCCAACTGCCAACTCGTGTCTGCTGCCAAGATGTACTGTTCCGCAGGAAAATAAATAAATAAATCGACGAAATAGAACCCAAGAAAGTTGGATTTACTCAAAAGAGAAGGTCTTGGTCATAGACAATGGAACGGGGAAACCATTATGCACAACAGGCTCGATTCAGAGCAAAATAGGAAAAGTGATCTACAAAAGCAAAGTAGGTGGTATATTTTGAACTAGATACGCAAGTCAGATGAGGCATACCAATATCCGGATGAGTACAAATAACCGATCCCTACCATTTTAGCTTCTCTTGAGCAGCTTCGAGGTAAACAATATAACTCCATGCATGCTTGACGAGGAGTGCACAGCAATCCCAAGAGAAAGAAATTTTCAACCAAAAAGTTGCACTGACAAAATTTAGAGGCCAACCAAATGTTTACAGGTGAAAACATACGAACGTTATTGAGAAATACACTTTCGCGGGATGAAAGTGTAGAGTTAAAAGAGGAACCCATAGTGACTAAATGCAACTCGGCTGGTACCAGGAGAACTACGGCCACATAGAATCTTGGTAGCCCAAAAGCCAAATAGTGTTTTTGGGAAGACTATTATCAAAGCAGAAAGGCAAAGTCAAACAAAGCATTCATAATGATGTTCTCTACAGGATTAAGTGTAAAGAATGTGACAAATATTATATCACACAGACTGGAAGGAAAGTTTCAACACGGATCGAGGAACACAAAATGGCCATACGGAAACATGACCCACATCCTTTGATTTCCATGCATGAAGACCAAGAAGACAACCTATTGGACCTAGAGAAGGTAAAGATCCCCGCCCGTGGAAATTCGACGCAAGCTAGAGAATTTTTAGAAGCATGGTATTCTATGGGAAATTAAATCAACCGACTCGATGAACCAAAAGTTCTATATGCAGCACTCGGGACGAAAGGTCACCGGCCTAGTCAACTAAACCTAACGGAACAGTACACCGGAGAATCACGTCAGATGATGAGGAAAACCGCAGAGGTACGTGTGCTAACGCTACCAGTTACGAATCAGGGGGATGGAATTCCGTGATCATGTGTTCGTCGACCAATACAAACGCAGACTGATGACTCGTCCACCTAGAACAGGTTTCCCGAAACTACGGTCCGCAATGTCAGTTCATCTGGCCCGCCGAATGTACCCTATTTGGCTTGATAAAGCGTATAAAACGAGATGTTGTAATACAAGTTACATTCGCCACTGCATATCGTGTTGTCTGCAACCGTATACTGTCCGAACACTAGTGTTAGCAATCTCATGGTTGTTGATGGTGAAGCCGTACAACCATACTAGTTGTGACCCCACATCGTTGGAACATCGATGAGAGTGATGACGCATGAAACCCATTCACTCGTACAGCCTCCCGTGTTTACACTTACCCCAAAATTTTGTGTTGATCAACTGCATCGAAGTATCTCATATGAAACCACTAATTAGGACATCACTAGACTATGTATGCGTCACTTTGGAGCCATACATGCTGAGTATTCGGAAGGGAATTGCAGGTTGTTAATACAGAATTGATATGGAACGTTATTGAGATTCCAAATGCCCATAAGTTTGACGGGTAGCTTGTCTGAGCATGGTTGTTGATTTGGCGATGTTGGAAACGCCTTGTTAGTCTCTGTCTATATACAAATATATATAATTACCTTATTAGTCAAAACTTGGGCAATGTAAAATTGGCAGTGCCATAACACAACAACAAAAAGGGAAAAAACGGGTAGTCAGTGAAAGGATTTGGAAAGTTTAGAAAGTCAATGTGTTGTGTGGACAGAAATCTTCCGGATCGCCCAGGCCGAGGAAGAGGGTTGACTTAAGGGACCACACCCAGAGTCTTAAGACCTAACCCGCAAAGGAAGCCGGGAGATTGACGAACATCGCTGACATCCGGGTGACACCTTCGCTGTTTTGCGTTCAGTAGCAGTCCACAGAGAAGTCGGTGGCCAGCAAGGCTATTCATCCGCTCTCCGTTATATACTCAGCTGTGGTTCCAGAAGTGAATGGTCAGTGACCCTAGAACCGCTCACATTGACTTTAACACAGCGACGTATGAGCTCTTGTGGTATTTGATGGAGAAACAGCTCAGAACTCCCCATGCTCTGAGACGCAGCAGTTGATTGTCCACGAATGATTATTTATCTCGCCTGCAAGGCAAAGGAGACTTATTCGTAGTTCCACAAGAAAGGCATCCCCTAATTCCTAACATGGGGACGCGCACGATAGCGTACAGCTCCGCCACGGGATATATATATAGTATTGGCCAAATTATTAGAAATCTTTTTCAATCAGCAAACTTTTTCATATTTCATCAGATGTCTCGTAAGAGTCAAATGAGGTAACTGTAAAATGGTTATATTTACCAAGAATAACATATCAAATAGAAAATTACCAAGGTTAGTATGTCGTAAATGATCAATTAGAAATTTTCAAGGAGTGAATGAGCTTTTGGCAAAGTTCAGTCATGCTTTCATTGCGAGCCCTGGTCACTACAATTTGTTTACTGAGCAGTTGCTTTTGTAGTAATTTTTTTCTTCATCGCTGACTTTAGAATTGTCCATAAATTCTCTATTGGGTTCATGTCAGAGCTATTACCAGGCCATGGCAACACTTCTATACCACCACCCTCAAGAAAACGGGTGACTTCACGACCCTTGTGACATGGTGCACTGTCATGCATGAAAATGAAGTCTCCTGTCCCTGTAAACCCTTTTCATTGACCATTCACCCAGCTGGGGAATCAAGTAGTTCTTTGTAATGCAGCTGGTTCGTGTTACCCTGGACGATGGAGAACCGACCCGTTCCGCAGATGCTCATAGAGCTCCATATCATGACCCGAGTGGGTTTGACTCGTTGAATGATGCAGTCTTCCCTTATCTGATCGCCAGGTAATCGGCGGACATATAGAGATTGCTGGTCAAAGCACCGGATGATGCACTCATCGCTGAAAACCACCTAAAATGAAACCCAGAAAAACGCAGAAAACACAGCAAAAGAAATGTAGACACAATTCTTCTGGAAAATCCTTATGAAAATAAAACTTCGCGTCTTACCCGCTCCCAGTCTTCTTTGGACCATTTTGAAGCTGTTTAGGCAATTCCTGTTGTTTTTCTTCCATTTGTTTGGTTAAATTTTGCTTCTTCAGAGGTTTGCAAGCTCAAAGTCCAGAATGTAAAAGTCGTACTCTTACAGTTCTGGAACTAACCGCAAATCCATGCTGTTCCAACATCCTTTGTAGCTGTCTGCTAGATGCTTGGCGATTCTTTAGGCATTCCCTTGATAGAAGTGAGTCGTCGCGGGCTGTTGTTTCGCTTCCGCGACCACTTTTACCGGAACATTTAGGGGACAGGGGCAAATTCCTTTGCAATTTCTTTCGAAGTCGACATAGAGACGCTGGGCTGACACCAATCTTGGTTGAAGTTTCTGCTCCTTTAACATCTTCTTTCAACAAAATTTCAATTTGTGTACGCTTTCGAGGGGTTAGGTCACGTAATTTACCCATTAATATGCCAACACCATCTAAAAACTGGTGATCAATACGGTTGTGTCGTTACTTGAGAAGACACTTCGAAAAGTAACAATAGAAGTAATTAGACATACCTATAAATTGATACAAAACTAGACAAATGTAATCCTGAAATTTAGACTAGATCTGTAAATAACGAAGTATGAGAACAATGTAACCGCCCGTTTACATAACTACTGTACATGTCACATCAACCAATTTGTCATCATTTACAAAAAGCGCACATACTATGCCTTTGCGTGTTAACTTGAAAATTGCCAAAGTATCATTTAAGAAGTACAAACTTTGATGATTTTCTATTCGATA